TGCTTTCAGATCTCAGCGGGTCTGCTCCTTAGAGTCTCTAGTTGCAGCTATAGGTGAGCAGATCCGTCCTCACCTCACTTATCTACCAGGCTTGTCAGATCTCCTTGGACAGACTGGTCGGTATGTTCCCTCTTAGGTCCGTGAGTTCTACTCCTCCTTGTGGATTGACCCGAGACACAGGTTTATTCATTTTGCTTTCTGAGGGCGTGACTACAGGCTCCAGATCTCGAGGGTTAGAGAGATACTGAGGATTCTAGAGTCACCTATTCATCTTCATGAGACATGCTATGGACAGACAGAGCCTCCGAGACACTCTCACGGTGGACTTGTGCCACCTACAGATCTTGTCAGACCATGCTTCATAGAGCCATTTGGCGAGGGGTCGAGCAGGACACCACGTGACCTTACACCTACAGCTCGGCTTCTTGATGCTATTATGAGGACTCTGCTTCTGAGGATGGGCTACCATGAGGGCCTGACTAGAATTCAGCTGTGGCTAGTGCATTACCTAGTGTCTCAGACTATCTTTGATATTTGGGATGTGATGCTTTCAGAGATGGAGGACACACTAGCAGAGGGCTTCAGAGGTCACCGTCAGCTGCCTTATGCTCATTGGATCACTTTCTTACTCTGAAAGGCAGTTACACATAATTCCCCAGAGACAATGGCAGAGTGGATAGGTGCTACTACTGAGTTTCCACAGTATGACTTGAGCCAATGCTACGTCATAGTCGTGCGAGGACACCTCGCCAGCCTAGTCCTCGCCCCAAGGTACCAGAGACAACAGCTCAGTAGGATGAGACCATCAGAGGCATCGCAAAGATAGAGGAGGAGCAGCTTGATGCACAGCAGGAAGATGAGGTCGAGAGCAACCCGAGTGACAGCTCAGACGATGACTATGAGCCGATTCCGTAGATGGCACCTCGTCCACACGACAGAGAGGCCAGTGGCTCTAGCTCAGCTCCACCACAACCACCGCAGATGGACCCGTCACTTCTAGCTATACTTGAGCGGATGAGGCAGGACCAGGCACTTCAGGCACATGAGACCGTAGCTGCACTTGCTCAGGTTCAGGCACGATAGGATGAGTTTCAGCGACAGCAGCAGCAACTTATGATTCAGCAGTAGTTACTCGGCTTCATGCAGCATGTATTCACTGCTATTGGGGTTGATCCTTAGCAGTCTACATTTCAGATAGGCAGCCTGCCACCACCACTCTAGTGACTCCAGCTGTATAGCCCAGTGGGCTTCCGAGTCAAAGACAGCCAGCTCCTTAGTCTACCTCACCTACAGAGCAGGTGTCTCAATGGTTTGCTTCACTAGGGACAGCTCAGGGCCCGCACTTTACTCCTATTGTTACAGGCTTCACTCTGACTCAAACTTCTTCACCTTAGTGACGGACACCCCAGTCTCTAGGAGTCTCAGTGCTACCTTCATTGAGCTTACAAGGCAGCCTACACCTCCAGTGTTCCGAGTCCCTGTCCCTACCTCAGCTGCTCCAGTTACTAGGACTACCGAGACGATTCCATCGTCTGTTGCATCATCTGAGCCACCTCAGACAGTCACTCCCACACTTGAGGCTTCAGCAACAGCGATAGCGGCAGATGTGGCTCCCCTTCCTACAGTGACACCTGCAGAGTCACAGGCCGCGCCAGTTACTGACCAGACCCATACCGCTTCACCTTCACTTCTAGCTACAGAGGGTCAGACCCCTCAGAGTTCAGGGTTAGAGGATGATGCAGCTCAGTTCTAGGTCTCTCACCGCACCTCAGGGCCCGACTCGACTACTCCTGTCCCGCCGTCCGACCTTTAGATTTTGGTGCTTGACGCCAAAGGGGGAGAGGGACCGAGTATGTTAGATTTAGGGGAAACGTGTGAGATGGACTCGATTCTTTTGGTCTTTCGTGTGTGATACTTCGTGCATTCATGTTTACTTTCATGCATTGTATTATATACATGTGATGGTGAGACTTATGTGACATGTGTGCTCTCTACATTATTTTATATATGTCATGTCACTTGGTTATACTCATTGGTTGTGCTTCCGCGTTTTACTTCGATTCAAATGAGTTTTATTAAATGTACTCATACTTAATTCATATCTTTTGAGTACACCATGTTGGCTTGGGTTATATAAGCATGTCTAATTCTTTTGTTCTTATTGTCAAAAGCTTATATGAACCAAGCATGTTGAAAACCTCACTCATATCTTCTACATACTCGAGGTTGTGTTGTCATCAATCAACAAAAAGGGGGAGATTGAAAGCATCTAGGCCCCCAGTTGGGTTTCGGTGATTAATGACGACACGAGATTACTATGACTAACGTGTGTTTTGCAGAGACAATTTGAGTTAGGTCATGGTAATAAAAATTGATTGTGCAATCATGGTTGTCATGCTCCTGTCGATGGAAATCATTTCGGTTTTTAAAGAATGGACGAAAGGTTAAGGACAGACTAGTTCTAAGTGTCGTTTCGTGTTGGAGAGACACTTAGAGTAGTTTAGGACTTTATTTTTCCTTCGGCCGTACTATTAAGGGAGATATGGACTAGTAACTTAACCTAGATAAGTCTAATGTATTAGGTGTGGTGCACACTTGTCAAACTTAGCACTAAGTAGCTCAGGAATAGCCCTAAGATCGATAGAAGTCAACTTCATTCACAAAGAATTTTGAATAGGAAGTGAATGGAGAGTCAAATAACTGACCGGACGCTGATTTGGTTGTGACCGGACACGGCTTGGAGAGTCCGGTCAGTTCATTTGATCGACGATAACTGTCAGAGTGCGATCGGACGCTAGACACCCGTGTTCATCGGACGCGACGCTAGTCGTATCTGTAGCAGCGTGGACAGGCTGTTGACCACGGACCGGACGCTGAACAGAGAAGTGACCGGAGTAAGGTTCCAGAGAGGGTTTTTGATGATCGGACGCGTCCGGTGGGTGCTGACCAGACGCAGGCCTGAGTCCAGTCAGAGCAAACAGCTCTTTCTGACACGCTGACGTATTACACTGACCGGTGCGTCTGGTCACCTTGACCGGAGCATCCGGTCATCCCGATATTTCCTGAGTTGGACCTCAACCGTTATGTTTTGAATGGGGGTATAAATACATATCCCACTCTTCGATTTGAGATCTCTTGCCCATTTGTTCAGCTGAGAATCACTTTTGGAGTGCAAGGAAGAGCAAGAGTCTAGTGAGATGATTGAGATTTGATAATTCAAGATTAAGGACCTTATTAGTGCAAGGGAGTAGCAAGTGTGCATCCACCTTACTCATTAGGCTTGTCTTGGTCAAGTAAGAGTTTGTGCTTGTTACTCTTGTTGATCGCCATCACCTAGACGGCTCGGTGGTGATTAGGAGCTTGGTGATCATCCGACGGAGCGTGTCACTTTGGGAGCGGTTGTGGGTGATTCACCGCGATGGAGTGTCAAAGAATCAACCCATAGAGAGCATTTGATCATTGCGCGGCTCAAGGGGGAGTTACACCCTTGCGCGGGTGCTCCAACAAGAACTAGTGGGGAGTGGCTACTATCCGATACCTCGTAAAAACATCGTCGTGTTCCTTTCTCTCTTTACTTTGAACATTTACATTTGAGCAATTCATTTCATGTCTTTATATTCATAGAATTGTCATGCTAGAGTGGGATTGGAACCTAGGGTACAAAAGTTTTGTATGGGAGAACAATAGAAACACATTTTAGACACAATGGGTGAAATGGGTTAAGTGTAGGGCTTAATTATTGTAAAAATTTAGAATTAGGTCAATTCACTCCACTCTTGGGCATCTTGATCCTTTCAAAGTTGATGAGGAAACAAATTTTCTTTTATTGATAATTATAATAATATCCTCTTATTGCTTTTCTTTGTGTTTATACAGGAGGCCCCATCCGTGGATGAAGTCCACGCAACAACACTACTAGTAGTATAATACAAAACTTCAGTCACGCACTCATAACAAACGAATGACTCCAACAACTTGCAGCATCTACCATGGAATATACAGCGAAACTATGATCCCCGTTGCGTGTAAATAAAACGAAAGAACATCATGCTTTTCACAGGAGCAAAACAATTTGGACAAGTACAGCGACCTGGACTTTTGTGAATGGGATAGGTCGCCATTGACCACTGACAGGTCAAGTTTTTCCTAGCATACAGCAGAATACAGTATAGCGAGTACTGTAAGCGCCCAAAGGATTTCGAGAAAGTCCAACAGCGAACCTGAAAATTCGGAGAGACTAGATTGATTTAGTGCCAGCTCAGATCCAGCAACATCTATTATTCTCGAGCTGAAATCAGAATAATATAATATTTGTTGAATAGTGGCCATGTTTACAGCCTTGCGTCCAAGAAAACCAAAACGTTTTGAGCCGTACCAAAAGACAGCAATATCTTGCAAGAAAGTGACACCGAATAAAAAAGCTACCTACGTCTTCATTGACCACGCATTTGTGTTTAATTGAACATTATGTGTAAAAGTGAAGTTGTTTCTTGTATGCCTTCGATAAAGTCTCTATTGAAGCAAAGATTTTCAAATAAACATGTGACTGCTTGCAGGTTATCCAAACATTAGATATATACAGACTTTTTGTACTGACCATAAGCAGCATTCAATTGAAGAAATTTATCTATGATGGTATGATGTGTTTTCTTTTGTTTGGTTTAGACTTGCGTATGCTAGGAGAACACACCATCTACCTTTACAAAAAGAAATCCAGTTTTGCTTATGTTAATGCTGGATTTCAGGAGAGATCAAATCAGCATGATGAGTAGTTGGTGACAGAACAGAACTAGAGCTTTCCGTTCACAAATCAAAGGTCCCACTCCCTTCAAGTACTCCTGTTTACATTTGAGAATTGAAGCAACACTACAAAATATGCAGCTCTAGAACATCACTAATAAACAGTTGTAACGTTGTGGTACAGGTGTAGCCACAGGCCAGCAGAAAGAGAGAGCGAATGGGCAGGTAAGTGGTTTATCGAACCTTGTACTTTGGCGTGCTCATGTATGTGTGACTAGCAATGGCAGCCTGGCTTCCTCGCTCGATCCTTTTCTGAAGTAGGCATAAAGCACCAACTGTATGATACCCAGTATGGTTCCAATACCATTTGGAATCTGAAATAGTGAAACAAACTAGATGAGCACAACTAACAGACATGCAGTTAGATACCCTTCCAATCCAAGCAAAAGATTCAACCAACAAATAGGGAACTTGAACCGTACATATATGAAGAAATCACGCAGCAGCACTCCGTATCCGAAGAATGATGCACTCATCAGAAACATAGATAATGACAAGTAGAAGGGCATGTACTCCACGCTCTTCGTCCTGATGACCAGATTCTGCCAAACAATAATGGAATGAATATGTATCATTCATCAAAAGGTCCTAAAAGAAGACGTGGCCAAATCAAAGCCTAATAATATCAGGCAAGGATATGCAAAAAATATTCATCACAACCCGTAAGAATATAAGAACTCACGATGATTGACAAGGGGGACGCGAACATGAATATGAGGGATGCGACGCTGAGATATCCGACGAACATCTGCCGGGTTGTGTGATCCAACAACGCCAAACTAACAAACACAATCAGTCCGAACACCACAAAGACAGCGGCCAGGAGAGCAGAGACCTTGAGCTGCAATGCAACAAGGACAGGAATTCATTCAGTATCTATCTATGTTAATGAATAAAATCACACAGGACAAGCAAGAACGCAGGCGGGCACCCACCCTCTGCTTGGCGTCGGTGAAGGCGATGAAGACGGCGGTGTAGGCGAGCTGGAAGACGGCGCCGATGGAGTTGACGGTGGCGACGAGGACGACGCCGTAGGAGACGAAGGGAGGCCGTACCACATGCAGATGAGGCAGTTGAGCAGCGAGTAGATGTACGGCATGGCCGAGAACTGCTCCGTGGACCCGTTCCGGACGATCCGCTTGAATGTGGGGCTGCAATGCAAGCGACGGGCATTACAGCTGGAACCGATTGAGGACGAAAAGAAGGGGGGGAATTCGTCGTCTTGAGAGTAATCTGACAGCTCAATCAGCAGAAAAAAGAGGGGGAGGGACTTACAGTGGGGAGATGAAGAGCACGAAGGCGAAGACGTTCCCTGAAACGACGAATCACAGACAGCAATCAGCGATACTATGAGATGATGAGGAACTGCCGAGAACTCTGGCAGTCAAATTCAGCAGCAAAGTTTTGGAGTCCAGGACTCACCCAGAGCGAGAAGGGGAAGACAAGAACAGATAGAATGTCGGCTGGGTGGCTAAGGATAAGTACTAACCTGCGATTCCGGCGCCGTAGCAGCAGAGGTGGCGGAAGGACGACGAGTCGGCGACGAAGCTCGTCAATGCCGGAGCAGCCCAATCCATGGTGCCTGGACGTCGAGGAGAGGGAAGATACTTGCTCGGGGCTCGGATCTGAATATATATCAGCAGAGGCTGGAGGCAGGGCCGCAGGAGCGGGCGCGGCGGCAGAGCCGCGAGCAGCAGCGGAGCCGGGGGTGGGGATTTCGCTTGTTTTGCTCGGCGTGTCGCCCGTGTTGGTTTTGGTTTGCTTTCCTTCCCGGTCGATCAGGGTCCTCGTCAGCCATTTGCACATGTGGGATTTGTTTTTGCACATGTGGGATTTGTTTTGTGGATACCATTAGCCTCTCCTTTCGTCGCTCGCTGCTCACGCTGGGGGTGGGGCTGACCGGGCCTCTCACGTCGCATGGAGGTGGCACGAGGCCGATTTTTTTTATTTTTTCTCTTTTTTTGAATTTTTTCACAACTACGCCCCTGGAGATATAATTTTAAAATCTGGACCCTTAACTCGGCGTCATCGTTGGTGGCACCGAACTTACACGTCTCGGCACCATAGATTCTAGTGCCTAGGTCGGAGCCACGTTGGCGGCGTGGGCGCTGACATGGTAGCCAGCTCGGCGCCAAGGTTGCTGGCGCCGAGCTCAGCGCCGTGGATCTTGGCGTCGAGCTTGGCGCCGTGATTATTGACGCCGAGCCCTGTATTACGTATGAGTTATCCCTTCCTTTCTCTCTTCCTCTCTCTTCCGCTGTCGTACCGCCGCGACCGCCGCCGCGCGTTGCCCGGCTGCCCGCGGCCCCAGCCCGCTCTCGCCGCCTCGCCGCACGGAGCGCCGTCCGTCCCGCGCCCGCCGCGTGCCACCGCGGGCCCCCGCCGCACCACCGCCGGCCCCGGCCCCTGCAGCGCCTGGCTGCACCACCGCCGGCTTGGCTCGTCCCCCTCACCCATGTCTGTCGTCCGCTGCGACTCTGTCCTAGGGCCATCGATCCCGGCATCCGCTGCGACTCCGTCAACGTCCGCGACCCCGTCCACATTCCTGCCACCTACTCAAGCTCTTGAACTCGTCGAACAGGTACAAATTGTGAATATGCAATGTAGGTACTTAGTTAGCTTTGATTGTAGTGTAGTAGTTCGATTATTTGTTATTTACTAGTTAATGTGATGACTCAGTTAGTTGATTTAGTTAGTGATCTAGTGAGATAGATATGTAAATAGATAGAAACATAGATACATAGATATAGCTAGATAGCTACTTAAATATGTAGTTATATATTTAGTTAACTAAATAGGATCTAGCTATTTAGTGAGTACACTGTGTATATATACGTAGTTATTATCTGATTTACTTAATTTGTAGTTAGAAAGTACTTGTTAGGTACTATGTATCGTTTAATTTGAACTAAAGGACATGTGTTTTGTTATGTGTTTGAACTAGATGGATAATCTAGTGATCATATATCATGTAGGCGTTTGCATTGAAGAGGTGGTTGCAAGCGTTTGCAGTGATAAGAAAGAGACCTTACAAGGTCTTGCATTCATATGCAGAGCGTCGTTACACAGTTGTGTGTGATAAGAAACGCTGCCCATGGAGGGTTTGTGCAAGAAAGCAAAAGGTCACTAAAAAATAGAAGATCACAAAAGTTATCGGGCCACATAATTGTGCTGACCATGTGCTCACACTGAAGCATTGGCAGTTGACATCTACCCTCATTGCTAAGCGATTGATGGGAATATTATAGGGAGAACCCAACATTAAGGTTAGGATAATTATCAGGACCGTTGAGGCGTTGTATGGAGGTTATGTGATAACTTATAGTAAAGCTTGGAGGGCTAAGCAGCGAGCGTGGAAGATGATATATGGGGACTAGGAGGATGGGTATGAGCAGCTACCAGTACTTTTCAATGCAATCAAAGTGGTGAATCTAGGCATACATTATGAGTACATCTCAAAACCAAATGCATGGAAGGATGGGCGGCAGATATTCTTCCGTGCTTTCTAGTGCTTCCCTCAGTGTGTAGAGGCCTTTAGGCACTGTCGTCCCGTCTTCTCCATTGATGGTACATTCTTGATTGGCAAATACCAGGGCACACTTCTTATAGCCATATCCTGTGATGTGAACAACAAGTTGGTTCCTTTGGCATTTGCTTTGGTTGAGAAGGAGAAAAATGACAGTTGGGGAAGGTTCTTGAGGCTAGTTCGAACACATGTGGTTGGGCCTGGCAGGAAGGTTGGCGTCATATCTGATAGACACCAGGGCATACTTAATGCCATGTGAGAGCAGATAGAGGGGTATGCACCTTTGCACCATCGTTGGTGTATTCGGCACCTTATCGAGAATCTACTTCGGAAGGATAGTGTGAAGGATAAATTTGATTTGTTCCAGGAGGCTGCTCGATAGCTTGAGGACAAGTACTTTCAGAAAAAGTTGGAGCAAGTCAGAACCGCATCAAATGCAGAAGGTAGACAATGGCTCATAGGTTTGATGAGGGATTTGGAGAAATGGATAAGAGCTCACGATGATGGTGGATGGTGGTACGAGTTTCAGTGCAGCAACATGGTAGAGTCATTCAATAAGTTGCTTTTAGGAATACGTGATATGCCCGTGAATGCAATCATTCAATTCACCTTCTACAAGCTTGTTGCCTGGTTCAACGATAGACACGCCCATGCATTGAAGTTGCGGAGTGATAGAGAGATATGGGCTCCAAAACCAAAGGCACACCTAGAGAAGGCAAATGAAAGGGCTGACACACATGAGGTTACATGTTTTGACCACACCACAAGGACTTATCAGGTTGAGCATAGAGGCGGTACAACGTCCGATGACGAGGTCCGAGAGTCGAGGATGCATGTGGTAATCCTCCAAGATTTCACGTGCAATTATGGTAAAACAAGACAGTATCACTTTCTATGTTCTCATTTGGTGGCAGCAGCTAGGCATCGCAACTTTAATATCGAGAGCAGGATACCTCACGAGTTTAGTGTTGACACGCTTGTGCACACATGGAGCCCCCGCTTCATGCCTTTCTGGGACCTTGGAGAGTGGCCTACATATGATGGGCCAAAGTACATTGTGGATCCAGCTTACCGTTGGAACAAGCGTGGATCAAGGAAGAGGACGAGGCATAGGATGGTTATGGATCAGATACCTGGAAGAATGAGGCGTGAGAGAGGAACCCCATTTCTTACTGACCCCGAGCAGTATGAGTGCGGCAAGTGCGGTAGACTGGGCCACAATTCACGCTCTTGCCATTGGCAGATTAGTGAGGTGCGACTATTGACTGTTTTCATTATTTCATATTTATCGTATTCATTCACTTTTTTTATGTATGCTTGTAATTGTGTCAATTACTTATATATTTCTAAGTTTATGTTTCATTGTATATTGAATTTCTATTTCATTGACTTTTTTGTAGGATGGCGCAATTCCACCTGCTCAACCCGGCATACGAGGAGACCCACCAAGGAGGTCTCATAGCGGAGGGGCAGGTAATAATCTATACGTCTTGTTCAATTTTTTGTGAGTGTACATGTGTTCATGAAGTAACGGAAGACTATGTTTTATTCCATGCAGGACCTTCCGCTCTTTCGTCCTAGAACCCACAATGGGTTCTTAGACATACAGTACGATAATAGGTACACTTATTTCCTACAAAGAGCTGGCCTAGATGTCATCTCTTTTTAGGTTCGTTGTGGGTTGCCCAAGTTCAACTCAGCGGGCATACTGCGTTGGTTGACAGGTATTATCTTCAATCATTGCCTCCATTCATGGCCATTTGTTCATGCACTTGCCTTTTTGACATATAATCTTGCTTTGTCTAAAATGTTGGTGGCGGCCAGAGACTCACAACTTTCACTTGCCTTTCGGAGAGATGACAGTCACGCTCTAGGACTGTCAGAAGATGCTAGGTCTGAGGATTCATGGCAACACAGTGATTGGGCAGTGAAGGTCAGAAGGTTGGAGAGCACGAGTAGAGGCCTTCCTTGGACGTGAGGTTGGCGAGCAAGGGGCTCACACTTTAGGAGTTCTAATTTCCTTGCTCCGGCAAGAGTTCGCACAGTGCCCCGAGGAGGCAGATGAGGATATAGTTGGGTACTACTGCAGGGCGTGGATCCTACACCTATTTGCCTACGTTCTCTTCCCTGATGCCACAGGTGACACTACTCGTGGATGTGGGTCCACTGCCTCACTGACTGGGACCAGGCGGGTCAGTACAACTAGGGCTCTACAGTGTTGGGTTTTATTTACTGGCAACTTTGCGAGGCGTGTCGTCGGACTTTGTCCTCATCGTCACTTGGTGGATGCGTGTACCTGCTCCAGTTGTGGATGTGGGCTCATCTACCTGTTGGCCGTCCTAAGGTTCTGGCTCGTCGGGAGTGGTTCCCAGGTCAGCCTCTACGTCGGCAGCTAACGTGGGTGTACCTTTGGGACCAGGTTAGGGGTTCGCACGCGAGGTTAGAGCGGGCGTACATTGAATTCACGAATGAGCTAGACATGCTCACGGCGTCTAGTGTAAGTAAATTTTATTTCCCATGCTGGTTTGAAATGGTTTAGTATAGCATCTAATATCTTTGTTGGACATGTTGCAGATGTCGTGGGAGCTGTATGATGGAGAGGGGGCACTTCCTTTTCAGTTGAGCAACATGTGTGGGTGCGACGATGACTTATATAGGATGAGGTGCCCTCTAATCTGTTTCTATGATGTAGAGTTCCACCTGCCAGATAGAGTTGCACGCCAATTTGGAGTGAGACAGCTTTGGCTAACGCCTCCATTCTCGAGTGGTGTTGACTTACACAAGTAAGTGTTTTCTATTTCAACTGTCTCATGATGGTCCATTTCCATTAATTCCTATATATGATAAAGTAATGATGACATACGTGCACTTTTAATATGGTGACATGTACATGGATTGAGATGGTAACATTTTCCATAGTGAAGATTACATATGATGATACTGTTACGTATGATTTCTTCAATCACTCTGTACCTTTCTTGAGAAGCTTACATCAAATAGTCGTGCCATATAGCTTAGGCTCCATCATTTTATAGCCTCAATTTCATACCTGCCAGAAACTAACATCTTACGTGACGTGTAGGTTAGATCATTAGAAGAATAGGAAAATTTTTGATTGGGAGAAGCACCACCAGTACTACATTGAACAATGGGAGCTGTTGCACGACAACATGGACGAGAACAACGAGCTACACACGAACTGTGAGTACAGGCGCTACCAAGCTTGGTACCAACGTGCGACATGTTGTAGGCTGAGGATACAATGGACAGAAGATGACTACGCTGACATCGAGTCCTCCGA